AATAGATGACTCTTAGTAGCTGCATGGTAACTTTCCTGATGACAGTAAAAATTTAAAAAAAAAAAAAAAAAAAAAAAAAAAAAAAAAAACCCAAGAGTATAGAATCAAGTTATCCTGGAGGAAAGCACTGCTTTTATAGACCTCTAAGACAAAATATTTCAGCATCAGGCCACAACATTTAGAACTAAGAAAAGTTACAGGAGCTGACAGGAAGCTGAAGGATAGAGTTATCCCAGGCCACGTCAAAGGGAGAAAAAGCTGATAGCAGCAACACAACAATTGAACATTTGAGATATGAATCTCAGAAGTTTTCAAAAGAAATCGATTATGGAATAGAAAATCAAAATTTCTTGTAATTTTATTAAGAGCAAATTGATACCTTAAGAAAATATTGGTTTAATATAGGGGACCATTCTTTAGAAAGACTATTATAAAGAATTCCTTTTTAATTATACCTAACTTAATTACATACAAGATTGCTTTTATAAATTCCCCTTCACGAGCCTTATCATGACTTACACAGACCGTCTGTCACATGTTTGGACTGTATACTTGTCCTGTGGTACCTGTTCCTTTTTATAATTATTTTCCATTTTCCTTTTCTAGATTAACCTTGTAATAAGAACCTGTTTCTTAAATAACCAGTCATTTTCCTTTAGGAGAATAATTTACCATGCAAGATTCTTTCTCGTATAAAATTACTCTTTTTTCTTGATAACCTTCCTTACCAAAAATACATGTTCTTGTCTATATCTTTCTTCACATCTCTCTTCACCATTTATTGCTTTCCTTTCTAGTTTGTTTCATAAATAACCTTTTCAAATTCATAATTTGAATCAACTTTTAAAAAACTTTTGCATTAGTCAAAATAATTCTTTTTCTCAATAAGGACACCTCTTCTTTGGCACATTTTATAGAAACCTAGGAAGAAAGAAATCCGGAACTATCAGATACTAGTATTGTATAGATGAGAAATATTTCACAATTTTTAGAACAGTTTTCTCTATATAATAACCCTTTCTTAATTGGAATTGACCCAGACATCCAGTAAGCATCCAAAATGATTTTCAGATTTTAAATTATAAAAAAATTTCACTTAGAACCATTGATCTCATTGATGTGTACTCAGTTTTTCCATTTTAACAGTTTACCTAGAGTACTTTTGAAAACTGGGATATTACCCAAAAGTAGTAATTATTTAGTTATGTCCCTATTACCCATTTTTAAAGTCTGTGGACATAAGGTGTTTTACCTAAGTAAGAACCTTAAAGTTCAATATATGCGCATTTTGTTAATAGCACAGAAGATTTAACTGTTTTCATTGAACTAGTAATATTAAATGAGTCTAACTCATCTATAAAATCACACAAACAAAAATTATTCTGTTTTTGGCTGGGTTTATGGTCCTATAGCCTTTATGTCATATCCTGACACCTTAATATATAGACAGAGATAAATACAAAACCATTTGTTCACTAAACTCAGATAAAAATATGTTGATCATTTTGAAGATATTTCTAGTATTATGTCACCAATAATCTTAAAACCAGTTTTATTTGTCAAGGATTATTAAATTTATGTGAACTTGAAAAACTTCCTGACTTATGAGCACTTATTTACTTGTAAGTCAATTTGGTAGCAGGCTAGACATAATATACAAACATATCTACATATGTACATACACACAAACATGTCTACATATGTACATACACACATATCTACATATGTACATACACACAAACATCTACATATGTACATACAAACATGTCTTCATATGTACATGCACACAAACATGTCTACATATGTACACACACAAACATGTCTACATATGTACATGCACACAAACATGTCTACATATGTACACACACAAACATGTCTACATATGTACATGCACAGACATGATTACATATGTACATACAAACATGTCTACATATGTGCACACACAAACATGTCTACATATGTACATACACACAAACATGTCTACATATTTACATACAAACATGTCTACATATGTACATGCAAACATCTACATATATACATGCACAAACATGTCTACATATGTACATACAAACATGTCTGCATACGTATATACACACAAACATGTCCTCATATGTACATATGAACATGTCTACAAATGTACATATGCAAACATGCCTACATATGTACATACAAACATGTCTACATATGTACATACACACAAACATCTATATATGTACATACAAACATGTCTAAATATGTACACACAAACATGTCTAAACAGGTATACACACACATGCAAAGGTCTCATAGCTTTTACCTTGTGATTCTAACCATAAAGTAACAGTACACACTCAGTATTTTATAAAAAATAGCTGGATACACGTTACTGTCTGACAAAACTGGAACCTGTTTCCATGGCTAAATTGTGTTTTCTCCAATATATAATCTATGAAAGCTGTGAACCAAAATTTGAGTAAAGCAATCTTTATGGCAGTTTTGTTTTTAAAAAAGGATCTTTTACCTTTTTTTCCCATCAGTTTTAAACAAGTTTCCTTTGTTTACTTTCTAGTTAGTCGGTAAATAATGTGTCTTATCACAGCACCAACGGCTTAGTAACAGCCAATCTGAAGCAAGCAGAAAAGAAAACAGAGGAAGAAAGAGAGGTTTTGATGACTCTGCTTCACTTAATAGCTGCAGTTAACCATTTGAGCTCTCAAGTTGTTTTGATGACTCTGCTTCACTTAATAGCTGTGCAGTTAACCATTTGAGCTTCAAGTTGTCTTGCTATAGTTTGCCTCTCTTGTTTAAAATGTTCAAGGAAAGTAGGTCTTAATAAGTAGCCAGCTGAAATCCCAAAGAGAATGAGAATAAGGAAGTTCCTGCCAGGCCTCTGCAAAGAAGGAAAAAAAGAGGAAAAGATAGAAAAGGAGGTTTGTGAACCTTCTAGCTGCTGCATGGTATAGGGTGGGCACCCCCACCACTCTTGCTGACATCCCATCAGGGAGAGCCCCAGTACCCTGGACATGCACAGTGTGAGACGAATCCCTCCCACCTCTGCAAGTCGTGGGCAAAGGAAACTGTTTACAGCTGGAGAGAGCTAGGGGTACCTTTGACTGAGATGAGTAAGGCTGTAGGTGGCTTCCAAGATAATCAGGAAGATGAAGTTGAAAGTGAAAAGGATAGGAAGAGACCAGGGCCCACACTCAAAGGTCATACACTCACACTTACAAACAAATGGTGAGCTTCCAAACAAACCCCAGTTAAGGGCTGGGTACAATCCTGATTTCTTTCCTCTGTTCAAAAGCAGCTCCACAGCAGGTATCTGAAACCAAGTGGAGCAATGCCCAAGTACCCACATTCAAATCCGTAAAACACTCAAATGATAGTCCCGTTAGTGGACCAGGTGGCTACAAGCAGAGGCTACGAAGAGCACCCCAGAAGGCACGGGAAAGCTGGGTGCAGTCTGACCATCGCGGTTTTACAAGTGTTGCACCGCCTTCTTCCAGAGATCGTTCTTTGTACCAACAAAGTGTCGATGGCTGCAGGGTGCGAGGAAGTGAAAGGAGGGTCTAGGAAATGGAAGATTTTTCAACAGCCACTTGGAAGTTCCTAACGTTCCTGCCATGGGAGGGTCTGCTAGCCTTTGGCTGCTGGTACTCACAAGTAACTGTCCGCCTGAGTATGGCTTGACTCACAGGCTGGGTTGCCCAGAGCATAATGCTCCCCATATGGGCCACCAAATTTGTTGCAAACACTAGGTTTGGCCACTTGTCTGACAATATCAAATCATGGTAGTAAAAAGAAAGTGACTATTTCACAGTTTAGCAATGGGAGAAGAACCAGGTTCATATCTAAAGGAGCAGCCAGTTTTCTGGGAAGAAAGCAGGGTTTGAAGAAGAGAAACTTTCTTATGCAGGGTGTGCAAGGAACATGGAGTGCAGGGTCTATGTGACTTGCTGTAAAACACTATCTCAGCTAAGAGGTCATCCGTTAGTCACGACCAGTGTCATTAAAGACAATCGGAATGTGGATTAACTATTGTCTTGAGACAGTCTCCCTGTGAGGGAGATTTCTGGATGGTGCCTGCTTTGGTTCAACATTTGGTCCTTAGAATTTCTAAAGAGAGCAAACTGGCAGTCCTTACAGGTTGTTTCACTGGTAGAAATGAAGGAAGGAAAAGGTTATTTGCCTGGGGAGCTAAGCAAGAGGTGAACACTGAGAAGAGAAAAATACACAAGGTAATTTTAGGAAAATGCTATACTGGGTTACAATTTAACATAATGTTTCACTGTGTCTAAAGAGCTATCCTGCTTCGTGCAAACTACATAGCCTGTGGCATTCATGGAGTGATGAACAGAGAAAAAAATAGTTTTAAACTGCAAAGAAACGAGATTTTTTTAAGAAATCAGTGAAGGAAAAGAAACCTTTATTGGCTTCTCCTTTTGGGTGAGAAATGTTCTCTTATAAGTAGACAACAGCTTGTACTTTAATTATTTCATAATCTTGGCATTGATTTACCAAGCCACAACTAGCAGGATAACGTAGGAAAGGCAGGTTGGTGTCCACACGGTCACTAAATCTACAACGCACACCATTTAGTTTATTTCTAAAAATATCCTTCATCCTTGGAAGACGATGCAGGCTCACTGAGTCATGGAAAACTTCGTGTTTTTGTAGTCAGAAATGAGATGAAAGCATAAAGGTGAATGATTCTTTATTAAAGAATTCATTTAAATTACTTTTCTTTGTATCTTTGCTTTGTGTTTCTGCTTTGCTCCAGTACTCCCGCGTGAACCAGGTCTAGTGGGTGGCCACCACAGTCCAGCTGCGTGGGTGTTGGCCTGAGTGCTCCACCTCATGAACTAAGCCCCCTCTTTCTCCCAGTCAGTTCCATCTTCTCAACTCCGACTGTCTTCAGAATCCGTGTCCACACCACAGCCTGGAAACTCTCCCCAAGCAGTAACCTGAGAAGCAACAGTAAACCTTCATTGTTTGCCTCTGTGTTTTTGTAGTCAGAAATGAGATGAAAGCATAAAGGTGAATGATTCTTTATTAAAGAATTCATTTAAATTACTTTTCTTTGTATCTTTGCTTTGTGTTTCTGTACTGCTCCAGTACTCCCGTGAACCAGGTCTGAGTGGAGTGATGACGGCACCACAGTCCAGCCTGCGTGGGTGTTGGCCTGAGTGCTCCCGCCTCATGAAATTCAGCCCCCTCTTTCTCCAGTCAGTTCCATCTTCTCAACTCCGACTGTCTTCCAGAATCCGTGTCACACCACAGCCTGGAAACTCTCCCCAAGCAGTAACCTGAAGCAACAGTAAACCTTCATTGTTTCGCCTCTCTCAGATGTCACTGTCCTTCATTGTTTGATGTGCACTGTCTTGCAATCCATCCTTCCAGATAAATCATCCATTTTTACATGTGATAAGCCATGTCCAATCCCCATAAGTTTTACCACAACATTTTGTTTCATTCTTCCTGCAGTTACTCCATCATTACTGTACCACCGCCTGTATGGATGTAGTTGTCAGTGTGAAGCTGAGTAAGGAACAACGTGCACCAGACTCGCAGAGAAAAATGGACACGCGAGCTGGCCTTTGTATCACTAAAGGGAAGGTCACATTGGTGAATATGTAATGTCTGTAGTAGTCTTGTTGGGGACATCCACAGCATGTCAATGAATCAAAGACTTCAGTACGATCCCAAAGAAATAATAATATCTCTATCTAAACTCTTATACACATAGTAGACTTATTTACACTTACTGAAAAAGTTAATCTAGAGTTTTAAATTTACGTTTTATTCATATACAAGTGAAAGCAATATTGGAATTAATTCATAAATTAACTCCCACATATCTTGATATTCTGATTATGTTTGTTTTGAATTAGGTTTTGACACTTTTTCAAAGTGATTATTGATACAGTTGGATGAATATTCACCATGTTTGTTACCTCTTCTCGTTTTTGCTCTGCCCGTTTCCATTTTTGTCTTCCATTCATTTTCCTTTTTTGTGGTTTTTATTCAGCATTTCATATAATTCAATATTCTTTCTTAGCATCTCAGACTTTTTTATACTTTTTTATTGGTTACTCAAGATAAGAAAAGCTTTTAATTTTCATATTCTTAATTGATCTTACATATAACAGCTTATTGAAAATAATTATATTCAATAGTAGACAAGTGCCTTTCAAAAAAATAGTAGCAAGGCTGGGTGCGGTGGTTCAGGTGTGTAATCACAGCAGTTTGGGAGGCCCAAGTGGATGGATCACCTGAGGTCGGGAGTTCGAGACCAGCCTTGCCAACTTGGTGAAACCCCATCTCTACTAAAAAAGATACAAAATTTAGCTGGGCGTTGTGACACACAATCTGTAATCCCAGCTACTCAGGAGGCTGAGGCAGGAAAATCGCTTGAATGCGGGAGGCAGAGGTTGCAGTGAGCTGAGAACACACCACTGCACCCCAGCCTGGGTGACAGAGCAAGACTCTGTTTCAAAAAAAAAAAAAAAAGCAATTTATTTAATTATATTTTTGTAACTATAAGATATATACACACCTATAAGTAAAATGAAAGACAGGAAAGAGGGACAAAAGGAAAAATACAGGAAAAAGGAAGAAATAGAACTATTATAAGATGGTTACACTACTTCTGAAGCAGTACAATTTTATATGAAAGGAGCTTAGATTAGTTGTAAATATAAATTGCAACCTCTAGGGCAGGTTACTGGAATGGGAGCCTCAGTTTTTTCCTGTCTGTGGCCAGAGGCTGCATTCAGTTATTTCCTAGGTTGGCTTCTCTCCCATGGCAGAATGTGTCATCAAAGCCACCATGGGAGAGAGCTTGCAGCAAGACAGGTATCATCATCTTAGGTAATATGATTACTCAAGTGATGTCCTATCACGTTGTAGTCTTCTGATGTATCAAAGCAAGTCTCAGTTTCTCCCCAAAGTCAAAAGGAAAGGGTTAGAATATTGGGTTATGTACACCAAGCTGTGAGGATCATTGCGCACCATCTGAGCGCTCACCTGCCAACGTCAGGTCTTACTTAATCTGGGACAGGTTCTCAGTCCTCACTTACTTTGCTGACCTTGGCCTTTGTGAGAAAACAGGTCACATAATTTGTGAAATGTATCACAATCTGGATTTCTCTGAATGTTTCTCAGGATTTTGCTGAGCCATATAGATAGAGACATGTAATTATCTATTTGTGAAGACAAGAAACAGCAAACAGGACATTATTTACAAATACAGATTTAGAGACCAAAACTAAGAAAGCAAAGTTTGCAAATGGAAAAAGGAAAATTAAAAATAATAGTAATGTTCACCAGGGTAACAAAAAGTGTAGGAATAGGGAGGTGAGCACCTGGGACACTACAAGATCGATAGTGTTCTGCTTACTAAGCTCAATAGTATAATTTTTTAAAAATATATGTTCTATTTATTTGTTTTTTGTTTGTTTGTGTTTTGAGATGGAATCACCCACTGTCGCCAGGCTGGGAGTGCAGTGGCACAATCTCGGCTCACTGCAAGCTCCGCCTCCCAAGTTCAAACGATTCTCCTGCCTCAGCCTCCGGAGTAGCTGGGACTACAGGCGCCTGCCACCATGGCCGGCTCATGTTTGTATTTTTAGTAGAGACGGAGTTCCCCATATTGGCCAGGATGGTCTTGACCTCGTGATCCACCCGCCTCGGCCTCCCAAAGTGTTGGGATTACAGGCATGAGCCACAGCGCCCAGGCTATTTATTTGTTTTTTTAACATCTATTTTACAATAGTTTTGGATTTACAGAATAGTTAGAAGTACATACAGAGAGTTTATATATACTCAACACGTAATTTCCCTTTTATAAATTCTTACATTCATTTGAAACACTTGTTGCAGTTGGTGAACCAGTATTATACATTATCATTCGTCAACATTCACAATTGATCATACGTTCTGTTTTCGCATAACGTCCATATTCTGTTCCAGGATTCCGCCCCGGACACCACATCACATTTAGGTATCTTGTGCCAGTTTCTCAGATTTTTCGTATTTCTGATGTCGTTGAAATCCCTCCTTTGGGATGTCTCTGGTATTTTCCTAATGACTGGATGGCCATTGTGGATTGAGCAGAGGAAAACCACAGAGGGAAGGTTTTATTCTCATGATATTGTGACAAGAGTACATAGTATCAACATGCTCTATCACTTTTTTTTGAGATGGGTCTCACTCTGTTGCTCAGGTTGGAGGGCAGTGGCGTGAACAAAGCTCACTGCAGCCTCGAACTCTTGGGCTTGAATGATCCTCCACCTCAGCCTCTTGAGTAGATGGGACTACAGGCATGTGCCACCACATCTGGGTGATTTCATTTTACTTTATAGAGGCAGAATCTCAAGACATTGCCCAGCCTGGTCTCTAAGCCCTGGCCCCAAGCGTTCCTCTCACCTCAGGCTCCCAAAGTGCTGGGATTACAGGTGTGAGCCACTGTGCCCAGCTGCTTTATCATGGTTAATGTTATTTGATCACATAGATGAGGCAGTTTAGCTCAGTTTTCTTCAGTGTAAAATTAATATTATTCCTCTTTTCATGTTGTACCTTTTGGAAAAAACATCACTATGCCCAGCGCATACATAGAAAGTAGGAAATTATGCCCCATTCCCCTATGGGCAGACTTTCTATAAACATCATTTGAGTTTCTGTAGAAAATATTGAACATTCTTTGGGCTGTTCTGGATCATTTGCATTTTTCTGTGTGTTTTAGAATCAGTGGTCCAAGAACTACTAAAAATGAAAAAAAAATAGTTAGAATTTTAGTAGGGCTTGTATTGAATCTGAAGATGCATTTAGAAAGTATAAGCATCTTGGTTAATACTTAATAGCTTTCTGATCAATGAAAATCTAGTTTATATAGTATATTACACTAATTCTTGTATTCATTTATTTAGGATTTCTTTAATACTTCAATATGATTTGTAATTTTCAGTATATATATCTTGCAATTATATTATTTTCAAATGTATTTCCTTTTTGATGACGTGTTAAATGAAATTATTTTGAGTTTCATTATTTGATTAGTTTGTATTGTATAAGAATGCAATTTATTACATTGATCATGCATACTGAATTTTGTTTTTGTTTCAACCTTATTTTAGTGGATTTTTTAGGATTTTCTATATATTAGGTTATGTCACTGACCAATAGATTGTTTGACTTCTTCCCTTTCAATTTGGAAGTCTTATATTTATTTTTCTATCCTACTTTTATAAATTATGTCCTCGAGCATAATGTTTAGTTGAATTAGTGGGAATAGGTAACCTTTTGTGTTTATAATTTTGGGAATATTACTGAGACCTACTTGATACCATGTGTTGTCATGTGAATTTTTCATAGGTGCCTGTTTTAGGTAAGAACATTCCCTTTATGCAAAATTTAATGTTTTTACTGTGAGTGGGTTTTTGAATTGGAAAGTGCTTATTCCATATTTTTAGATGTGATAATGAAAATTTTGTCATTATCTTAATATAGTTATTACACTAATTCTTTTTATATGTTTTACCAAACTTACGATCCTGAGTAAATTAATTAATAAATAAATAAAGTAGTGTTTAATTCTGTTTTACGATCCTGATTTGTGTTGAAACTATTTCCTTGAGAATTATTGCCTAGGTATCCATAAAGCATATTAGTTTATAGTTTTCGTTTTTTGGATTGTGTTTGTCTGGTTGTAACCTCAGAGGAAACTGCCTCATAGGACGCACTGCACACTGATCTCTTCTCTGTTATTTTATTTTTTTGGAGAACAGTTAGTAAAAAATTGCTGTTGATATTTTAAAGGTTTGGAATAATTCATCAGTGTAATCTTCTCAACCTGGTCAATCACATGAACTTAGAAGATGATTCCTCCGCAGCTGATCCTTCAGGTGAGACCTCAGCTTTGGCAATCATCTACATCCAGATTCCTGACCCAGAGAAACTGTGAGTAATTTGTGTGTGCTTTTGAGCCACTAAGCTATGTGGTAATTGGCTATGCTGCAATAAACAATAATACACTTGATGGTAAACATAGTATGTTATCCTTGATTAGATCCAAAAAAAGGAAAAATGGCAGTAGTGGAAAACCTGGTAAAATATGAAGACAGTCAGTACTTTAGTTAATAGTTTTATGCCTTTGTCAGTTGGTGAGTTTTCACAGATAGTCTATGGTTATGTGTATGATATTAATGTTGCAGGAAATTGAAGGGTATATCCACTTTTTGTAAGATTTTTAACAACTCTCTATAAATCTAAAATTGTTTCAAAATAAATGAGAAGTAGACATGGCTCATATATTTGAGATCAGGTCTTCCTGTTAACTTAATTAAGCCTTCATGGAACCTAAAACTCATGGTACAAATGCAATAACATTATAAAATATAAATGAGATGAGTTTCTATTTTACTCACTCTATTCTTCAGGGAACACTAAAGCCCATTCTTCTTCTCAAGTATCAAAACTAAAGTTGATGCAGTAACTAGTGGACAGCATAGAAGATTGTATGGAAGCTATAATGCATTCACATTTCAATTACTAATCGTAAAATGATGTGTATGATCATTCTTCATGGTTAGAATGACTATGGGAAAGAAAGAAAAGAAATGCCACTTTCTTGGGTTTGAGTTGTCTGTGCAAGAGTGGTGGCACACCCCTGTAGTCAGTCCCAGCTGCTAGGGAGGGTTGGTAGGATGATCATGTGATACCAGGAGTCGGAGGCTGTGTAGTGTGCGATGGTGTGCCAGTGGAATAACCATGCACTCCAGCCTGGGCAACATAGTGAAACCCCATTAAATAAATAAATTTAATAAATACATAAATAAGTTACAGAGATCATTGTTTATATTTCTATTATTAGGACTCAAATCCTCTAGATAGAGTTTTTTTGTTGTTGTTTTTCTTTTTGAGTTGGAGTCTCACTCTGTCACCCAGGCTAGAGTGCAGGTGCGTGATCTCAGCTCACTGCAAGCTCCACCTCCCAGGTTCATGCCATTGTGTTATCAGTCTCCATATTCTCCTGCCTCACCCTCCCGGAATTAGCTGGGACCACAGGTACCTGCCACCACCCTTGACTAATTTTTTTGGTTTTGGTAGAAACGGGGTTTCACCATGTTAGCCAGGATGGTCTCGATCCCTGACCTCATGATCTGTCCACCTCGGCCTCCCAAAGTGCTGGGATTACAGGCGTGAGCCACTGCACCAGGCCTGAGATTTTTCTTACCTTTGAAGGCTATGACTCAGCGCAAACTTTCATATAATGCTTTGCATTTTTACTTTCCTCTCAAGGATTCCTGGAACTATAGTTTGTAAAATTATTGCACAGCATGTGTTTTATTTTTACTTCTGTTTGCTGTTAAGGCCTCTCTGGACAGTGACTATAACCTATACCTTGCCCAGTACGACTCAGGGTTTGGTACTGGCTGTGCCTTTCATGGGATGCTTACTTATCTGTTCTACGATGGCCTGAGCGAACTGCCAACACATCAGGTATCCTTCTCAGAGAGTACTTGTTTCACTGTAAGGCACCCTGTGGCTCCTGTCTGACTGTGTCTAGTTTATTTCCTACCAGAGTAACCACTCTTTAGGAGAGTGCTACGTGGGAGAAAAGTGAGGTCCCTGTGTGTTCGTCAAGTGAAATACAGAGCTGAGCAACTCAACACAATGTGTATAATGACATTAGTAATGTATCACTAACCAATCCCAGTAAGAAGAGGCCAGCATTCTGGCAAAGTGCCAATGAAAATGAAAGAGCTCTCCAGGCCACACCTCCTGGCAACAGGGGTGCTGGAGGAGCCACTGGAGAAGAAGACATGCTACTGTGCCATTTTGGCTGAAGTCTTTGTGGGTGTATTTGTCAGGGTTTTTTTCCAGCGAGAAGAGAACTACAGGAGGGAGGTAGGTAGGTAGGCAGGTAGATAGATGTGTAGATGGAGAGTTGCTAGATAGACTATAGTTAGATGAATGGCATTTTTGTTTGAGGTTACTCGTGTAACATTGAGACGGAGAATTCCCAAGCCAGCCATCACGAGTTGAAGGACCTTGGATGCTGTAGCGTGATGGCTCAGTCCAAAGCTGGAAATCTTCAGAACCAGAGGCTCTTGGTGTAATTCTCAGTTGGGACCAGCCACGAATCAGGGCATTTAAGTCTAAGTTCTGGAGTTTCAAGGTCATAGATCATGGAGTTGTATTTTCCAAGGGCAGAAAAGGAGTATGCTCTCCTGGAGAGAGAGACAGGGAGAAAACTTTTAAAATGTTTTCATTTTTGGTTCTGTTTGGTCCCCAAGGAGATTGTATGCTGCCTTCCCTCATTAAGGGTGGAGTTTTCCCACTAAATTTCGCTCTCATACCAACCTCTTTACTGGAAACACCTGGCAGACACACCCAGAAGTATTAACACCAGTTCTCTAGGTATTCTTTAATCCAGTCAGCACCTTAAATTAACCATGACAAGTCCAGCACCGTTCTGGTTGGCACTATATGTATCACCTTAAGCCATAAGTAATCTTTCGATACAGACAATAACAGGCAATAGTTCTACCTAACATGATGCAACCATCCTGTGTGCAGCAAAACACACTATACTATTGTCTTAAGAGCAGTGGAAGTTTGTGGGTGATGTTTACTCTTCTCCTGATACCCCATAACTTCAATACAAGTATATTAAATTGCTAACACTTAACTGTTATTATCAAGTTAACACATTCTTGTGTTTGTGATAAAGAAAGAGAAGAGAGAAATAAAAACAATGTTATTTGCCTAAAGTATTCATATGTGTGCAAATGCATTCTTAACTAAGTAGATAGGAAATACTGGTGACAATTTTAATCCTTATTTCTGTAACTGGTCTGGTCCTGTCTGGTATGTATGTCTGTATTATTTTATCATTTTTTTTTAATTTTTTATTTTTTGACACAGAATCTCACTCTGTCTCCCGGGCTGGAGTGCAGTGACGTGATCTCGGCTCACTGCAAGCTCCACCTCCCTGGTTCACCATTCTTCTGCCTCCCAGCCTGCTGAAGTAGCTGGGACCACAGGCGCCCACCACCACATCCCAGCCAATTTTTTGTGTACTAGTGAACGGGTTACACCGTGTTAGCCAGGATGGTCTTGATCTCCTGACCTTGGTCACCTGCCTCAGCCTCCCACAGTGCTGTGATTACAGGCATTATGCACTGTGCCCGGCCTGTCTGGTCTTTATAACTCCTTCTACTGCTACCCTTCTGTATTCTCTTTGTCTTCAGCGAGCCCCTTTGCTGGTCTGGAGTCTTTACCTGGCACGGTGATGCAAACCTTCATTCCTGAAACATCTGGAGCAGTTGTATTCTTGTCTGGAATGATTGTAATAACCCATTGAACTTAATAACAGGGAATAGTAATACTAAGACTTTGTTTTAGTCCATTTTCTGTTACTGATAACAGAATACCTGAAACTGAGTAGTTGATAAAGAAAACACATGTATTTCATACAGTTATGGAGACTGAAAAGTTCAAGGTTGGCAGGTTGTATGTGGCGAGATCCTGTTGCTGGTTGGGACTCTCTGAAGAGTTCTAAAGTCTACAGGGTATCATATGGCAATGGAGTAGCGCTTGCTGACATGCAAGATCATGTCTCCTTCTTACAAACCATCTTCTCATAATAGACTATTAATCTTTAAATATTAATGTATTGATCCATGAAGGATTAATTCACTGATGGTCAAACTCTTCATGATCAATCACCTTTTAAAGGCCTCACAATTCAACACTGCCATGTTAGGGATGAAATTTCAGCATAAATTTGGAAGAAAGGAAGCAATATTCAGCCACAGCACTGCACTTCTATCTCTCTAAAAATCACCCTGTCACCAAAGTTTTATTTCATTCCTATAGTTCAAAGGCTTAAATTGTTCCAGCACCAACAGAAAGTTCTAAAATGTAAAGTCTCCTCTGTCAGCCCATGAAATCAAAATAAGTTTTGCTTGATACAAAAACTGCCAGATGGGTTGTCAATGCCCACTGCGTTCATGTTTGGCTGCTGCCCAGAGAGCCACTTTACCAAGATAAGGAATTACTATAGAGAACATTTTATACATATAAAGCCAGCTAAAGAAGAGAGCAGGATTTTCATATTACTCAAAACTGCTTCTCCAAATACTCAGAGCTAAGGGGATTTTTATAGATAGTTTCTGGGCAGGGGTTACAGAAAGGGACATGGTGATTGGTTGGGTCAGGGATGAAATCTTAGGAAGTCAAAGCCATCTTCTTTGCTGACTCAGCTCCTGCGAGTGAGCCACATATCAGATGAGCCAGTTTACTGGTTTTGGAGGTGGCACCCGCTGATCTGTCCAAGAATGCAAGTTATGAAATACCTTTTAAAAATGATTTTAAAATAGTTTTAGCCGGGCGCGGTGGCTCACCGCCTGTAATCCCAGCACTTTGGGAGGCCGAGGCGGGCGGATCCTGGGTCAGGAGATCGAGACCATGGTGAAACCGTCTCTATAAAAAAATACAAAAAATTAGCCGGGCGCAGTGGTGGGCGCCTGTAGTCCCAGCTACTCGGGAGGCTGAGGCAGAAGAATGGCATGAACCGGGAGGCGGAGCTTGCAGTGAGCTGAGATTAGCGCCACTGCCTCCAGCCTGGGCGACAAGTGGGAACTCCATCTCAAAAAAATAAAATAAAATAAAATAAAATAAAATAAAAATAGTTTTAATAACAGGCATTTGTGCGGAAATAGAAAATAATAACAAAGGTTGATGTTGGGCATAGTGTATCCAAATGTTAGATTCAAAACTATTTTAAGTTGCAAAAGGAGGATAAGCGATGACAATCTCACGTATTTTTCATCTCTGCATCTCAAGGATAAACTTCAGCATGCAGGAGCCTCCGGAGGAAAGGTAGTAGCCATTTCATTGAGTCCAGGTCAGAAAAGTGGAAGAAAAATGTGGATGTATTCGTTTGAGGACTTTAGCTCTGAGAGGTTTCAGAATTCAGTCCAAAAGTGCAGAAAAATAATAAAAAACTCAAAAACAATGGACAAGACTGAGATCTAACAACAGGTGTGCTATAGTATTTTTCTG